AAAAAAGGAGGAAAAAAGGAGGAAAAAAGGAGGAAAAAAGGAGGAAAAAAGGAGAAAAAAAAGGAGGAAAAAAAGGAGGAAAAAAGGAGGAAAAAAGGAGAAAAAAAGGAGGAAAAAAGGAGAAAAAAAGGAGAAAAAAGGAGAAAAAAAGAGAAAAAGGAAGGAAAAGGAGAGGGGGTAAATGGAAGAGAAAAGGAAGAAAAAGAAAAAAAATGAGGAAAAAAAGAGGGGAAAATGAGGAAAAGAAGGAGGAAAAAGGGGAGGAAAGGGGGAAAATGGAGGAAAAAGGAGGGAAAAAAGAGGGAAAATGAGGGGGGGGAAAAGGGGAAAAAAGGGAAAAAAGGAGGAAAAAAAAAGAGGGGAAAAAGGACCAAAAAAAAGGAGGAAAAAAGAGAAAAAAATAGGGAAAAAGGACCAAACAAAGCAGAAAATGGGAGGAAAAAAAGGAGAAAAAACGAGGAAAAAGGGGGAAAAGGACAAAAAAATGAGAAAAAAGGAGAAAAAACGAGAAAAAAGGAAAAAAGGAGGAAAAAGAAGAAAAAAGGAGGAAAAAGGAGAAAAAAAGGAGAAAAAAAGGAGAAAAAAAGGAGAAAAAAAGGAGAAAAAAAGGAGAAAAAAAGGAGAAAAAAAGGAGGAAAAAAAGGAGAAAAAAAGGAGGAAAAAAGGAGCAAGAGCTGAGCCCATGTGGGCCATGAAAAACATGGAATAAAATCTCCAAAGCACAGGGAAGAAAGACACAAAAATAAAATTAAAAAAAAAAAATTCACCTTTTTTTATTGTTCCCCCCCATTTTTCTGTGCTCTGCTTTGATCCCTGATTTTCCAAATATTTCAAACTGGAGGCTCTGGGTGGGAATTTCATGGAAAATTCCACGGAAAAAATTCCACAAAAAGTTAAAAAAAAATAAAATTCCACAACCTGGTTGAGATTCTCAATTTTGGATTCTCCCAACTATTCAATTCCCTTTTTTAATAAAAAAAAAGGGAATTTTGATGCTTTAAAATCCCCTAAAATCAGGCTGGGATTGGTCTTGGCTCAGCCAATTCCACGAGATTTCAAAAAAATATTCCCAGCACACGGAAAAAAAATTGGAATTTTAGACCTTTAAGGTCACTTCCAACCCAAAATATTCCATGATTTTAAACTGGATTCATTTAGGGATGAAAAATTTAATTTTTCCTACTCTTTGCAGCTGCTGGAAAATCCATTAAAGCCCAAAAATTCCTCAGTTTTGGAAGGAATTTGGGAATTTTTCACAGGAGCTGAAATTTGGGAATTTTTTCCCTGAGGAATCTCCCATTTTTTGCCCTGAAAAGATTTTTCTTGATTTTAAAATTTTTTTTAGGAGGGTGGGATTTTTTTGACCCCAAAGAACGATGCCTGAGGGGGAGGAAAAAATCCCCAAAATCTACAGGAATGGGAAATTCCAACTCCTAAAAAAAAAAAAAAAATTTCTTGGGATATCCCAACATTTTCTTTTTTAAAGGATTTTTCAGAGGGATTTTCCAGGAGAATTTTCCCAGAGAAATTTTTTCCAGAGGGATTTTTTTAGGATTTTCCCAAGGGATTTTCCCAGAGGGATTTTCCAGAGGGATTTTCCCAAAGGTTTTTTCCAGAGGGATTTTCCAGAGGGATTTTTTTTGGATTTTCCAGGATTTTTCCTGGGGAATTTTCCAGAGGGGATTTTCCAGAGGGATTTTCCCAGAGGGATTTTACCAAAGGTTTTTTCCAGAGGGATTTTCCAGATGGATTTTTTTTAGGATTTTCCAGAAGGATTTTTCCTGAGGAATTTTCCAGAGGGGATTTTCCAGAAGGGATTTTCCAGAAGGAATTTCTGGAGGATTTTTTCAGAGGGATTTTCCAGAGGGATTTTCTGGAAGGATTTTTTCAGATGAATTTTCCCAAAGGTTTTTTCCAGAGAGATTTTTTTCAGAGGGATTTCCCAGATGGATTTTCAAGATGGATTTTCAAGAGGGATTTTTCCAGAGGGATTTCCCAGAGGGATTTTTTTAGGATTTTCCCGAGGAATTTTCCCAAAGGTTTTTTCCAGAAGGATTTTCCAGAGGGATTCCCCGAGGGATTTTTTCAGAGGAATTTTCCAGAGGGATTTCCCAGAGGGATTTTCCCACAGGGATTTTCCAGAGAGATTTTTTCAGAGGGATTTCCCAGA